CATAAAGTCAGTATGTAAGGTCTTTATTATTTAAAAAAAATTTATTTAGGTTCTTTTTTTAATACATTTTTCTGATTAAAATCTTAAAAATTATTTTATGTATTTATGTGTTTTGCCTACGTGTATGTTAAATGCACCAATGCCCATGGAGGCCAGAAGAAGGTGTTGGATCCCATGGAAATGGAATTAAAGACAGTTGTTAGCTGCCATGTGGGTGCTGGGAGGCTAACCCAGGTCCCCAGCAAAAACAGCCTGTGCTCTTAGCCACTGAGCCATCTTTCCAGCCCCTTATTACCAATCCTAAGCTTTTTAAAATAATTTTTTCTCTCGTGATATGTATGTTACTTTTATGTATTTTTTCGTATGTGCATTTTTTTCAGTTCTTATATTCTTATCCACTTATTGATTGACATAGCTTTTGTAGTTGCTTTTAAAGAATATTCTCAGTACTAATACTTGACTTGTTGTCCAGAACTATTGCTTATCCCTATTTATTTATTGATTGATTGATAGATTGATTGATTGATTGGTCTTTTTGAGATGGGTTTCCTGTAATCCCAGCTGGCCTGGAACTCACTGTGTAGACCAGGCTGGCCTCAATTTCACAGAGATCTTCCTGCCTCTGCCTCCTGAGTGCTGGGATAAAAGGCATGTGCCTCCATACTCAGCTTCTACTTATATTCTTGTTTCACATATTTTTATTCTATTTGAATTGTATCGTGTGTACTAATGTATATTGTGAGAATTTGGAATTCAAATTTTTCCTATACTGACTCATTTCATATCAGTATGAGTCCATTTCTGGCTTTTCAGTTCTTTGTATTTGCTTGGCTGTTCCTTATCGCTTCTCTCTCTCTTTTTTTTTTTTTTTTTTTTTTTGGTCTTTTTGAGATAGGGTCTCCCTGTAGCTCCAGCTGTCCTGGAACTCACTATGTAGACCAGGCTGGCCTCGAACTCACACAGATCTGCCTCCCTAGCCTCCTGAGTGCTGGGATTAAAAAGGCGTGCGCCACCACGCCTGGCTTACTTCACTATTTTAATATAATTTTGTAATATATCATTACTATCAAAAAGGACAACTCTTCCACATTTTCATTATTTCCCTAGGCATTCCCAGTATATTTTTAGTTTTAGGACCATTTTGTTGAGGTTGGCATCATTATCTGTCTAGGGGTGTTAGGTTTATTTTCTCACCAATTAAAGAATTAAAAGGCAGGACAATCTCTCACCAGCAGAGAGCGGCAGCCAAACAGACTTTTATTGAGAGATAAAGAATCACATCCATACACATAAAAAAAAAAAATCACACACACACACACACACACACACACACACACACACACACATTCATACAGAAAGACGAGGCTCTCCACAAGTGGAGATGGGACCTGGGAGCTCAAATGCACTGTCCCTGGGAGAATATGGGTTTTAAGAGTTTTGGTTGTTTCTTCTCTAATTTTGGATTGGTCAACTTAAATGAAGAAGTGGGTGTGCTCATAGGCTTATGACTGGAAACGATGAGGTGTGCAGACCTATTTGACTTTGAGCAAGTCAGTTGAAAACACCCTGTTGGAGTTAAAAAAATAAAATAAAATAAAGCCTTTTTGCCAGAAAGGAAGAAGGGAAGTATGTCATTTTTATTCCTTCTCAGTGACCCTGTTTGCTCATTAGGGACTCAGTTCCTTACAGTTTTGTTAAGTTCCACAAAAAATCAGTTGAAACAGTGTTTGGCATTAGGTCATAGCCCATTCCCACATTAATTAAGGCTATAAATCACTTATAGTCCTACATAAAGAGTTTTATATTTTTTTCATTGTACACTGTATTAGTTTCCATGCTTTTGGGAATTGGAATTCTTTTTTTAAAATTTATTTTATTTTATGTGTATGACTGTATTGCCTCCATATGTGTAAATGCACCTGTGTTGTGCAATACCCACAGAGATTAGAAGGCACTGGATTCCCCTAGAACTGGAATTATGGATGGTTGTTAGCTGCCATGTGGGTGCTGGAATTCGAACGCAGGTCCTCTGCAAGAGCAGCCAGTGTTCTTAATCACTGAGCCATCTCTCCAGCCCGTTCTTTGCTTGTTTTAAAAATAATTTATTTATTGTTTTTATTTTATGTGTATGAGTGTATTGCCTGTGTGTGAGTGTAAAGTGCACCTGTGTCATGCAGTGCCTGAGGAGGTCAGAAGAGGGCTTCAGACCCTCTAGAACTGGAGTGATGGAGGGTTGTTTGCCACGATGTGGGTGCTGGGAATTGAACCCAAGTCCTCTGCAAAAGCAATCAGTGTTCTTAACTGCTGAGCCATCTCTGCAGCCGGGAATTCTTTTTTATTTAATTAACTTTTGCAAGTTTTTGGAAACATTGTCAATTTTTGTATGTAGCTAATGTAGCCTTTTATGAATTTTGATCATTGTCCATTTATTTACCATGACTGTTCTAAGTAGATGATTCATTACCCACTACTAATGAAAAATTTATGAACTGCTACAGGAACTACCACTGGTGAAGATGCCTGGCACTGCTCTTTTGGCACAGTTTCCCTGCTAACATTGCCAAGTGTGGTTTTGAGTGAAAAAGAACCTGGCTGTCATCAGAGGCACAGAAGTAGAATAGGTAGCTGCATTGAACTAACGTGTAGGTGTAGCAGGTGCAGCAGAAGAGTTTGTAAATAGTTTAAGGGAATGATTATCGTGTAGAGACTGTGGAATCTTGGCTAGAAAGGAAGAAATGAGAGATGAATGCTAAAAAGCATGGGCCTCTGTATATGTTCTGTATAGTAGGCCTATAAAAATGTTAGATTTATTAGCTTTATTTTATGTGTATGAGTGCACCACATGCATGCAAACCCACGGAGGTCAGAAGAGGGCATTGGATCCCCTGGAACTGGAGTTACAGTTGTAAGCTGCCATGTGGGTGATAGGAACTGAACCGAGGTCATCTGTTAGAGCAGTTAGTGCTCTTAACCTCTGAGCCAGCTCTCCAGCCCCTGTATAGCAGGTTTTAATTGGGCCAATGACTGTGAAGTGAAAGAACTCAAGGTGGTGCGATGGAAGGATAGATAAGTGAAGAGAGATGCTTGAAATAGAAACTTTAGAGCTTAACAGTTATTGGTGATCATAAATCAAGGATATAATAATGCTGTTGAATGGCTAAATTAGGGTAAAGTAAAAGATAGTTGGAAGTGAAGACAAGGAACCGTTGCTATTCATATTGAGAGCTAGGACAAGATTTTCATCCAGTGCGGACATTTTCAGTAATGAAAAGAATTATCTAGTATTTTAGAAAATACTACAGGGTATAGTGCTATGTAGTCTAATGACAGAAACAAGTGAAACAGTGGAGCTTTTCAAGGAAAGAAGAAAACTGGTTTGAAAGGGAGCAAAAGGGGATACGTTTTCTACTTATAGGGCCATGAATTATGAAAGAAAAATTCCTTCAGTGTTAGCTGTTAGAGAAATGAGCTATCCAGATGTCTCTTAATGCAAGAAGGTATAGTGAATATTCAGGCAAAAACTGTGTCACCAGAATAGCCTTCTAATGATGTACTATGATTTCTAGAGAACAAGGCAGGAAGCTTGGTGGGAATGAGAAAAGATAGCTTGCATCAAGTTAGTGAATATAACACCAATAGATAAAAACTGTTAGGACAGGGACACCAACCGATTAGAACTGAGTCATTGCTGGTGCTTATGTCAGCCTTACATGGGGCCATTGGTCTGATGATGGCTTATCTGTGAGGCTTGCACCTCTGGTGGTTAGAGAGAGGGGTGGTATATAGGGTTGTGAGTGAGGTGTGTATAGGAAGCTAGTGATCAGTTTACACCGGAAGGAATGAGGGTCTGACTTGTAGTATGATGACCAAAGGAATGTGCAGAGACCTCCTGGCACTAGCCCTGAGACATTTCATGGTAGAGATTGGGCTGGAAGATCTGTCACACCCTACCGCATTACTTATGGAAGCATATACCTTTATTTCTTGGTGCTATTTGGAGACATGTTTGCAAAGGTTCGGCTCCTTCTTTTATTTCAGTAGTTCAGTTCTCTGCTTTATTTAACATGTAGTCAGGCTATATCCCCTTCTAACTTTTCATTAGCTCCTTTCCTCACAAGTGATTCTCCCACTTTGTGGATATCTGTTTGTTTTCTTTCAATTAAATTTTTTTTGCCATTATTAGCTATCTTAAGTTTCCTCAGCATGTAATTCTACTTATTGATATTTTATACCTTTATGGTAAATTTCCAAATTTCATTTGCTAAACAAAGGCACACTTACATTGTTAGATTTAGTAGACAGGTTTAGACTTCTAGTTTTTTGTTTTTAATTAGAGGACTCATTGTATAGTTCCGGCAGGCACTGAACTCTGCTTCTCCTGACTCCCGATTGCTGGGATTGCAGGCATATGTTAACACATGGTTAGTTTGTGGAGTTTTGAATTGCTTGCCTGGGACCTCCCAGTGTGTTTTGTAACTCATATTTTAGTATCATCAATTGTGGAAGTTTTCTGTCAGGGTTCTTTCCCAAGGAAGCAGCTTTATGGTTTCATCGTGACATTTTTGCCTCATCAGAGCAGGATCGCTTAGTTCTTTTGCTGAGGCACAGTTCTGCGGCCCTCTTCTAGGCCTGTTTTCTGGGGCATTAGTCTCGCTGAAGTACTGCTTCTTGTGTCCTGGACTTGTCTGATGGAACCATCGCTTTAATCTCCTGTTCCCAAGAAGGCAGTCTGACTCCAGTGCTGAGGTTTTTGTTTTTTTGTTTCAATTTTTTCCATAGCTCATCATTTTGTACTGAGAATTTAGCCCTGAGCCCTATATCCAGACTGGGCCCCACTTTCCATTTTGATTTTTCCTTCCTACTTGTTTTTTTTTAAAAAAATTATTTGTATTTTTATTTTATATATATGAGTGTATAGCCTGTGTGTATGTAAGTGCACCCATGTCTTGCAATCCCCTGGGAGGTCAGAAGAAAGCATCAGATCTCCTGGAACCGGAGTTAGCTGGTTAGTTAGACAGCAGTTAGCCACCATGTGGGTGCTGGGAATCGAAACCAGGTCCTCTGCAAGAACAGTCATTGTTCTTAACTGCTGAGTCATCTTTCTAGCCCCCAACTTTTCCTGTTTTAACTAAAGATCTGAGTGTTTTATTTTATTTTTATGGAGTAGTAAGAGAGATCTGTACTATAGTCAGTCTTCCATATTTACCCTGGAAGGAGAAAAGTCCATTTAAAAAATTTATTTTTATGTGTATGAGTGTTTTGCCTGTGTTATGTAAGTGTACCATGTGTGAGCCTGGTGCCCAGAGGGCACTGGATCCCTGGGAACTGGAGTTAAGGCTGTTTGGTAGCAGACAGGTGGGTGCTGGGAACTGAACTTGGGTCTATCTGGAAGAGGAGTAAGTGCTCTTAACCACTGAGCCATTTCTCCAGCCCCTTATTTTATTTTTAAAATTGCATTTATTTATTGTATGAATGTTCTGTGTGTGCCATAGCACATGTGTGCAGGTCATCAGAGGACAACTTTCCTCTCTCCCACCATGTAGGTTGCAGGGATGTAGCTCATGTGATCAGACTTGAAGCAAACACCTTTACTCACTGAGTCATCTCACTGGTCCCCAGAAAAGTAGCTTTTATTTTATTTTATTATTTTTAATGAATGTTTTTTTCATGAGTTTTGTGGATTTCATACAATAAATCTTAGTCATATTTATACACCTCCCATCCACATCCCCTATATCCCCCCCAACACCAGATTTCATGCATACTGTCATATTTGTTAAGGCCTATCTGGTCAAGCTTTTGTACCAATATCCCTTGGTGCAAGTTCATCCACTGGAGTCTAGTCACTCCCTTAAACTCTTCCCTCACCCAGTAGTAATCAGTTGCCAATAGTTCCTCAGCTAAGGTTTGGGCCTGCTGCACATTTCCTCAGTTCTATACTAGGTTTTTGTCTGATTGAGTCTGCATGGGTCTTGTGCATGCTGTCACCATTGTTTCAAGTTCGTATGAGCAGTTCCTAGAGGTCCAAAAGTCTCTGTTTCTGTATGTTTATGCACCCACCCTGGCCCTTACAATCTTTCTGCCCCTTCTTCCGCAATGATCCTTGATTATCTCCCAGAACTTGAAGGCAAGACCCTACTGCTGAATACAGGACATACTTCAAACACAATGGATTGTGGAGGCCTCCTCCCTGAAGACTAGCTCTCATAGTTCTAGAGGATACTATGTAAGCTGCTAAGGGAGAAAATCAATCAGTGGCCCAACCCCAGCTTCCAAGCCTAATAACTGCAACAATGACCAGAACAACAAACTACATTGGTGCAGTAGTGGCACTTTTGTCTTGGGGGTTATCAACAGCTGTTGACTTGGACTTAAAACCCTCTCAGTGGGAGGGAACTCATGGGTGACACTGTAAACATAGCCAAATACACATGGATGGAGAGGTTATAGACCCTAGAGAAAACTCTATCTCTGGCATATATCTAGACAAATGAAATTTCTTACTGTATGCTAAATATGCATCTTTATATTTACAGACAAGTATTCCTCTCACCACTCATCAAAGAAGCTTCTTTTTACAACAGATGGAGACTATTACAGAGTTCCACAAGTCACACACAGACATGCCCAGCCCTAAGTGACAAATCTTCAGTGGAACCTCTATACCTAAGGCTCATGGAACATAGTGGAACAGGGGGTAGAGAGAATACTAACACATCCCTCAACTCTCACCAGCGAAGCTTCCTCATGCCACAGAGTTTGATGCACACAGAAGGCTACAGTTTGCCAAGGTGTAGAAAATAAGAGACCACAGAGTGTGTGTCCCTAAATAGGACTTATGTATTAAACCTGACCCATTCATGGCTTAGAAAAGTAGCTTTCAAATCCAACTACCAAGAGGTTTATTTTTATAATGATAGAAGGCAGTAGGATAGCCTTTGACATGCTTAATTCTAACTACAAAAATTTTGTACATATAGTCTTTGGCATGGGATGAAAAGTCTTAAAAGGTCTACAAATTAAACTAGCCTACCTATGTCTCTAATACAGACCGTCACCAGCCACTCTATGACTGTCCTATGTGCGGGCTCATCTGTACAAATTACCATATTCTCCAGGAACATGTTGACTTGCATTTAGAAGAAAGCAGCTTTCAACAAGGTATGTTTGTATGGCTAAAGATAAAAGTATCTTAATGTCTACTTCCTGGGATACATGTCTTTTAGGTTAATGATACAGAGGGGGAAAAAAGTCATACTGTCTAAAAGTAAACCTGTTCTTTAATTATGTAGCTATAATGTTTTCTTTAGAAGTTGTTTTATAGAAAAATTGTAAAGAACTATGGGGACGACATCCAAACCAAAGTGTTATACATCCTGGATTTTGCTCCAAAGCAGCAGTATTTAGAGGACACACCATTTAAGACAATGATTTTTTAAAATTTTATACCATTTAAAGTTTTTTATTTACAAGTTAAGGTCGTTCCTTCATCAGCTAGAAGTAACTGAATTTAGCATTTGGCCAGCAGAATTTTTTTGAACTAAGAAGCTATCATATAGCAGATATAATTTAAAAAACTATTTGAATTTATATGAATTGCATAACCTAAAAGCCTCAGAGTTTTCAGCTGCTTGCCTCAACTTCTAAAATTGCTTATCAGTTTAAAAATGACTATAAAAGTTTACTTCTGTTCTCTGTCTTTTGTAGTATCTGTACATGTACGTGTGTATGTGTATGTTCATGTGTGTCCAGGCACACATGTATGAGAGTACGTGTGTGTGGAAGCCAGAGGAGAACCTTGGGTATCATCCTCAGGAATGCTGCCCACCTCCTTTAAGACAGGGCCTCTGTGACTGTGAGCACTAAGGATTGCTTCTGTCTCCGTCTCCCCAGTGCTAGAGTTATAAGCATACACAAACACACCCAGCAGTTTCAATGGGTTCTGGGGATTGAACTCAGGTCCTTGTGCTTGTGAGGCAAACACGCTAATGACTGAGCTATTGCTCCAGTCCAGTTCTCTGTCTTTTAAATGGTAACATTAAGTCATTGTTGCCGAGCTTTAGAAGTGGAAGGATCTTATATGAGTTTCCTAAATCCACTGAAAAATAATATGAAGTTAACTTTAAGAGAAGTCAGTAATATTCTATGCTGTTTCAGTTTCTGAAGTTTTAATAAGATTAAATACTGAAAGGATCTTTAGCGTTCAGCATCAGTGACTTAGTACCAATGTAAGCTAACTCCTAACTGTAAGAGGATGATTACTAGAGCAATGATGGAAGAGTATTCCACTTTGGTGGTGTTCTACTTCTTCAGTTGGTATGCTATCTTTCTTTGAATAAGACTGTAAGGGAGGGAGTACTGTGGAAGGACAACCCTTTCAAAGCTGTATGTCTAGTAATCCTCACTGTGCTTATCATAGGCACTGTATTGACACATGCATTCTATATGTCTATAGTAATAAAAGGGGGATATGGTTCAAGCAAGTCAGAAGATAGTCTCAGAATGTGTTAAAAATCAGTTGTGAGCCAGGAGTGGTGGCTCATGCCTGTAGTCCCAGCACTTGGGAGGCAGAGGCAGGTGGGTCTCTGTGAGTTCCAAGGCCAGCCTGGTCTACATAGTGAGTTCCAGGACAGCTGGGGCTACAGGGAGACCCTCCTTCAAAAAGACAAAAAAAAAAAAAAAAATCAGTTGGGGATTACATGTCCCAGGAATGGAAGGGGGAACCAAATAGGGTGGTGACAGCAGCTGAGAAAGAATATTCAGTTTATAACTAAATCATTAGGTGGTGGGCTCTAACGTCTCTAGATTGAGGAATGCCTAGAGAACTGCTTCATTGTACCTTCTGGATGTGTCTGAGAGAGTGCTTCCACAGGAAACTGATCTGTGTGTCAGCAAACTGAGTGGAGAAGATCTGCATTCAATGTGGGCAGTACCATCCAGTTATGCTGGGATTCTAGATGGACCAGGACAGTTGAAGAAGGCAAAAACTTACCCTAGCTCTTCCTTCTGGATTTGGATCTGTTTCTCCTGCTGCTGCCCTTGGGCATCAGACTCCAGATTCTTTGGTCTTTGGACTTGAACACTTACATGAGTGGCCCTTCCAAAGATCTTGTGCCTTTGACCTCAGACTAGGCTCTGTACCCTTGCCATACTGGTTCTGGAGCTTCCAACTTTGGACTGAATCTCACTACTGACTTCCCAACAGGCTGTCATACAATATCTTGGAACTTTCATCCTGTGTGATTATGTGAACCAGTCCCCTAATAAATCCACTCCATCCCTCCCTCCCTTCCTCCCTTCTTCTTGTTCCCTCTTTCTCCCTTTTTCCCTCTCTCCTCCTCTCTCCCTCTCTTTCTCTCTCACCCCTCTTCCTTTCTCTCTCCTTTCTGCCTTTGCCTCCCTCAGTTTTATTTCACTGGAGAATCTTGAGCAATAAAGGGGATAGGGGAAACAAGATGTATCTGGAAGGCACTGATGAACAAGTCTGAGAATCACTGGGAGGGAGGAGGCAGGGCATTATGTTATGAAGTTATGCAACTTGTTTGGGACCAAACTATAATTATTATATAACAGGTGGACTTCACAATGCGTTTTTGTGTTCTTTATTATTGTATTCTTTCTACTGGTATTTCTTTTGAAAATCAGTCACCATTAGTTGTGTTCAGAGGCATCAATGAAGAGTGTTACTTAACCTCTTAAATTTTGGTTTCCTTGGTAGATAGTAATTCATAAAGTTGTTATGAAAATCAAATCAGTTAATAAAAACTACTTATTATAGCTTAAGCACTGAGTATTGGCTGTTACTTAACAGAAACAGTTCTGAGTTCCATCAGATTTGGGTGTCAAGGTTCCAAATAGCAAATAATGTAATTTATTTTTAAAATATTAATTGATGAGTAGGCATTGATTATAGCAGTCATTTTATTCTGAACACTAAAAATATCTAATAGGCATGGATGGAGTCCAGTGTTCTGGCGATCGAGAACTAGCTCACCAGCTTCAACAAGAAGAAGACAGAAAGAGGAAATCGGAAGAATCAAGGCAAGAAATGGAAGAATTTCAGAAGTTGCAGGTACAAGACTGGTAACAATTACACTTAGTAGAGCTCTTATTTCTCACATATGCTTTTAAGACTTCTGCCTATTGTGTCCATATTATTAAAATGGATTTTTTAACTCTGTAGTTCATAAAGGACACCATTTAAAAGTAGCTATTCTGGTCAGATATTTGAATAATCATTTCATACATAATATCAAAATATTCACAGTAAATCTGCAAAACTTTTTTTAGCCTTCCCACTTTTCCTTGTTTTCAGAGATAGAATGTTTAGGTGATTTACTCAGAGTTAGACACCTATTAAGTAGTAAGTGCATCCAAGCCTACACAGATTGAGGGGCAGAGCAGCAAAGTGCACTGAGAATCTGTTTGTGTGGTTCCTTAAGAGTAAAAATTATTTAGAATTAATCTCCCAGTCTTAAATTCTTTTGAAGATTTCAATTTCAGGGATTTTTCATTCTAATCAAAGTTCAGAAGTTTGTATTTGATGATGTTTGAGGCTAGCTTTATCCTAGGTGAGTGTAGTAGCTACTGAATTAAACTGGCAACATCTGGGGTTTTTTAAATACATTTTTCATGTTTTTCTGTTTTTTCATTTCTAATTTGTGGACTGTAGTGCCATTTGTGCTAATACTGCTTGTAGAGTTTTTAAATGTCATTTGTGTGTATCAATTGGATAGTATATAAATAAAAAAGGCTTATGAATGGATTTGAAAATGTTCCAGGCTTGTGTATTTCTCAAAGCCTTTAATAATGAGCATTATATGTCTAAATTTTGTCTTTTTTTTTTCCTTAGACATTTTTACATATGGCCATTTTCCCTTGAAATGTATTTTAGAAGATCTTATTTAGGATTTTTTTTCCCCTTACTGGTTACACTGATGGGCAAAATATTTTTCCTGTCAGGATTCAGAGGAGGAATGAAAATTGGCTTTTCCTAAGTCTTTTTTGCCTTATATATTGGTATTACAGTGCTGTGACCAAAATTCCTTACAGAAAAAACTTAAAGGAGCAATTATTTGAGCTCACAGTTTCACACCATCATGGCACTGAGCATGCAGGGAGCCTATTCACATCATAGTAGACCTGGAAGCAGTTGGTATGACAGAAACCAGAGGCCTGGGTATATCCTTAAAGGCCTGCCCCTTAGTGACCAGGGAACACACAGGGAGGCTGTTCTCATCACAGTGGATCAGAAAGTAGTTAGTGTGACAGGAACCAGAGGCCCAGGTATAACCTTAAAGACCTACCCCTTAATGACCTACTTTTGCCAGCTTGGCTCAAGGCCCTCCAAAGGCTCTACAACCTTCCAACTAGTATCTGATCTGGGTATAGACATTCAAAAACATGGCTTGTGGTGAATATTTCAGGTTCAAAGTGTAATACTAAAGTAACAATACAGATAGTTTCAATATTTAAAGAAGTTTGTTACTTTGTTAGTTACTTTTCTTATTGCTGTGATCAGGTACCTAACAAGAAGCAACTTAAGGGAAGGTTTATTTGGCTCACAGCTTGAGGGAATACAGTGGCAGAGAAGGCATGGTGGAAGCAATTGGGAGGCGTTATTTTTTTATTTTATTATTTGCGTGTGTGTGTGTGTGTGTGTGCATGTGTGTGCATGTGCCCATGCTTGCATTGCCATGGTGTGTGCATGTGAAGGTCAGAGGACAACTTTCCAGAGTGAGTTCTTTCCTTCTACCACCTGGGTCCCGGGGATCAAACTTTGGTGGTCAGTCTTGGCAGTGAGGGCCCTGTCCACTGAGGCCTATAGCTCTCCCAGGCCTATAGCTGCTTTCAATCCTGCCCAGTCTCTAAGTTTAAACTTACACTTTACCTTACCTAGCTTCACATTTTTTTCAACTTTCTGCTCTTTCTCACTGTAGACCAGATAAGAGAAATAAGTAGTAGCCATGATACAACCTGGAGGATATTTATCTTGTCTTGAGAGTTCCTCTACCAAATTCATCCATTGCTTTTGAATAGTCAAGTTCACAAAACATAAGAAGAAAAAAGACAAATTCTTTGCCAGAATAGATCTCAAATTTTCAGCTTCTAGCCCAGCTCTCAGTAAAGTTCCCTCTGAAACCTCATGAACCAGGCCTCCAATGTTCACATTCCACTTAACATCCCGATCTAAACTCCCATCAGAATGGCCTGTTAAACTCAGCTTACAGCTTTTCAAGTCCAAAGTTCCAAACTCTTCCACATTCCTCTTTAAACAAGTTCCAAATTCCAAGAACCATGTAGTCAAGCTTGTTACAACAGCCTAACTCCTGGATAACAATTTTCTTACTCCTTTCTTGTTGCTTTCGTAAAATAACTGACAAGAAGCAACCTAAGGAGGGAGTATTTACTTACAGTATGAGGGTAGAGCCCATTGTGGTGGGGAAGGCATGGCTGCCAGTCAAATTGCATCTGCAGTCAGGAAATAGGGAGAGGTGAATTCTGATGCTCACCTTCTTTTATCCTTTTGATTCAGTCTGTGATCTCAGCTGTGGGATTGTGTCACTCATATGCAGAATGGGTTTCCCACTGCTCTTCACCTAGTCTAGAAGCCCCTCACAGGGGGCTAAGTCCCATCAAATTGAAAATCAAGATTAACTATCACAGATAGTTATTATTATAGTTTATTATTAAGTTAGTGGTGTATGTGATTTAGATTTTTTTCTTTTTCAAAAAATATATTTTATTATTTTCATTTTATGTGAATGAGTGTATTGCCTGCATGTAAGTGCACACTAGTTTATTATTAAGTTAGTGGTGTATATGATTTAATTTTTTTCTTTTTTAAAAAGTCTATTTTAGTATTTTCATTTTATGTGAATGAGTGTATTGCCTGCGTGTAGGTGCACCTGTGTGTGCAGTACCCATGGAAGTCAGAAGAGGGTGTCAGATTCCCCTGGAACTGGAGTTACGGACTATTCTTAGCCGTCATGTGGGTGCTGGGAATCGAACTCAGGTCCTCTGCAAGAGCAGGCAGTGCCTTTAACCCCTGAGCCATCTTTCCAGCCTGTGTGATTGAAATTTCATAAAAATATTTATTTTGATTTGTATTAAAAAATCCACAAGCACTAGCGTGGTGGCACACGCCTTTAATCCCAGCACTCGGGATGCAGAGGCAGGCAGATCCCTGTGAGTTCAAGGCCATCCTGGTCTACATAGTGAGTTCCAGGACAGCTGGGGCTACAGGGAGACCCTGACTCAAAAAAAAAAAATCCACAAGCCAGAATATTTCAATATATGTTGCTGTATTTCCATTTCATGGCTGTAAATTTCCATTTTATTGAAGTACAGAATATAAAAGTAAGTTCTTTGTTTTTATGATCAACAGCGACGCTACGGCTTAGATAATTCTGGAGGATACAAACAACAGCAACTATGGCACATGGAGCTAGAAGTTAGCAGGGGAAGAATGCATCCGTCTGAATTCCACAGCAGGAAAGCTGACATGATGGAGTCGCTAGCTATTGGAATTGATGATGGAAAAACAAGAACTTCCGGTGAGTGCTTAGTCTTCAGAGCCACAGTAATAATCAGCCATTTGAATTTGCTTAATTTCCACAGTCCAAAGTTTATGTAGTTTTTTTATTTATTTAATTATTTAATTTTTTTTTTTTATGTGCATTGCGTATATTGCCTGTATGTAGGTAAGTGCACCCATGTCGTGCAGAGTCTGCGGAGGTCAGAAGAGGCTGTTGGATCCCCTGGAACTGGAGTTACAGACAGTTAGCTGCTATGTGGGTGCTGGGATTCGAACCTGGGTCTTCTACGAGAACATCCAGTGTTCTTAACCGCTGAGCCATCTCTCCAGCCCCATGTTTATGAGTTTTAAGTGAGATTATTTGTTCAGATTTTTTTTTAGGAAACAAACACAGCTTTTAGAGAATATTTATTATTTTAATTTTATGTGTATGAGTGTATTGCCTGCATGTATGTGCGTGCACCTGTGTTGTGCAATGCCACGGAGGTCAGAAGAGGGCATCGGATTCCCCTGGAACTGGAGTTCCCGCCATGCGGGTGCTGGGAAAGAACCCAGGTCCTCTGCAAGACCAGTCAGTGCTCTTAACTGCTGAGCCATCTCTCCAGCTCCAGGAAACATAAACTCATCTTTTAGGAAATAAGGTCTCCTCACTAACCTCAGCCTGGAACTCACAGAGATCTGCCTACCTCTGCCTCTTGTGTGCTGGGACTACAGGCATGCCCAACCACACTGGCAGTGATTAATTATCATCAACATCATTATTATTATTATTATTATTTTGGTCTTTTTAAGACAGGATCTCCCTGTAGCTGCAGCTGACCTGGAACTTACAATGTAGACCAGGCTTGCCTCAGTCTCACAGAGATCCGCCTGAGTGGTGGGATTAAAGGCATGTGCTACTGTGTCCAGCAATTTAAAAAAAGAAAGTGTTTAAAGCTATGAAGCCTTTCTTTATATTTTAATCCCTTTATGTACCTCTTTCTGATTCTAATTCTTCCTTCTCCACAAAACAAGTCATTATTCTGAATTTAGCCCTATTTGTCTGCCTCATTCTCTTACCATATGTATACATTCATAAGATATATATTCTACGTGTGTCACTATACATACGGATGGAATTAAATACATCTGATCTAAACTGTTTTTGTTAAGTATATTGATTGTTATAGCTGAACTTAATTTTAGCTGCTGTGTATAATTCCTTGTATGAATTGGGTCCCACTTTGTTTACATGATTTCATGTTGATAGACATTTAGGACATTTTTAGTTTTTTGCTCTTTAAAATTTATGAATAGATTATCAGGCATTTCCCTGACATTGCATCCAGAACTGGTTGCTATGTTAAAGGGTTTACAGATCTCCAACTTTGCAATGGATTGTTTTTCAAAGTGATCATAATTTACATTCACACCACTGTATTCCTAACACTTTATTAAATTTTGGCATTTTATGGAGCATGAGATGATACATAGGAGTGTTCCTTTGGGGGGTGGTCACAAATGTATATTCTTTTATGTTTCTTTAAATAGGCTATATGCTTAGGACTTCTCAGGGACTTCTTAGGACTTTTCAGAAGGAAAAGGAGGGATCTGTTTTTCCCCGCTTATTTATAGCAGTGTTACCATTCTAAGTACTTATTTATAACAATATTCAGAACAGCACTTATTTCTCTTAGTACCATTTATTGAACCTGTTTTCCTTCTATAATACTTGGATAGTTACTTACGCTTTCACATGTCATCAGTCTCTTCGTAAATCCTGTCTTTATAGTGGTGTCCATGTGTCATAGGGTATCCCAGCAGGTGTGCAGTATGAATTGTTAGGGTTCAGGAACCAAATATTAAAGTTTGTCTTTATAGTTATGTCATTCTTTAATGTCATTTTTGTGTATGTTTTAGGGTTATACAATACAATAGTATAAAATAAACGTCTTTAAAAGAATAAAGAATGTGATTTGTTAATATATTATGTCCCTTTATAAGCTGCATTGAAATTTACAAGTGATTGATTTCATTGCAGAGATTTTATTTTTATTTGTGTGTGTGTGTGTGTCTGTATGAGTATATGCTGTATGTGTATGTGGGTGCCCAAGGAGGCCAGAAAAGGGTGATGGATCCCTTTGAGCTGGAGTGACAGGCACTTGTGAACTGCCTGACATGGATACTGGGAGAAAACTCTGATCCTCAGCTCTTAGCTGCTGAGCCATCTCTCCAGCCCCATGGCAAAGATTTTTATTTTTATTTTTTAGCAGTTATACAAATGTTAATTAGAACAGCTATTATTTAGTGCCCCTTTATGTATTTTCACAATAGAATATAATTTAATAAAAGATAGATTATCTTGGTAACATCTAAAGAGATTTAAGAATGAAAAAAATTCTTCATATGTTTTTTTTTTCCCTTTAAAGTGGTTATATAGTGCCATTGCTAAGACAAAGTAGCCAAGGGAGTGAGGTATTCCTGTATTACATGTAGCAAGCATGCCAGAGTATACTGAAATGCACATTACTTTATTCTTACAAGTTTCCCCTTTTAATTATTTTTTTCTTTTGTGTGTATGAGTGCTTTACCTGTGTATATGTGTGTCCCTGTTTTGCAGTGCCCACAGAGACCATAAGAGGGCATTGGACCATTGGAACTGAAGTTGGTGGTAAAACTGCCATGTGGGTGGCTGAGAACTAAACTCTGGTCCTCTGTAAGAGCAACCAGTGCTAATTAACTGCTGAGCCATTGCTCCAGTCCACCCTCCCCCCTTTTCATTCTTTTTTTTTTTTGTCTTTTTGAGACAGGGTCTCCCTGTTGCCCCAGCTGTCCTGGAACTCACTATGTAGACCAGGCTGGCCTTGAACTCACAGAGATCTGCCTGCTTCTGCTTCCCAAGTGCTGGGATTAAAGGCGTGCACCACCATGCCTGGCCCCTTTTAGGTCTTAAAGGGCAGTCTTAAATCTCCTCATTCAGCCAGGTGTGGTGGTACACACCTTTAATCCCAGAGGTAGGTGGATCTGTGTGAGTTCAAGACCAGCGTGATCTACATAGTGAGTTCTAGGTCAGCTGGGGCTACAGGGAGACCCTGCCTCAAAAACAGAACAAAACAAAACAAAAAATCTCCTCATCCAAGTCCATATTTATCTTGCGTGTTCTGAGTTCCCAGAGTACCCATTCCAAGTTACAATATTTAGTACTTAGTCACATATCATTTTCACTGTTCTTTTTCTTCAATGTAAATCTGATTTGAGTTCTTTGGAAATTTATAATTATCCAGTTTCAGTTCTTCATGGTACTGGGCACAGCTGTATAATTAATTGATTTTTCAAAATCTGTGTTCTTAGACAAACATTTTCTTATATGATACCTTTTATTCAAATAAAATACATTTAATAATTTTTCTTTATGGTGCCACATATTATGAGAAAGCATGAGCTATATAAGTAAAGTACCACTGCCCAAAGCTTCATAGAGTTTTAAAAATAGGCAAAATGTACACAGAGATCCGTAGTGTCCTGCTGTGGCAAAGTATGACTAGATACCTTAGGGGGTATCTAAAAAAAATAAATGCAGTAATGATTCTTAAAAGAATCAGAAGGTTCATTGAAACCAGTGCTGTTTGATCCTTGAAAGATTATTAGGATTTTAATGTAAGGAGAGTAATCTAAAAGGAAGAATCAGATGTATCCAAATACCTTGCTTAACCATATTAGAACACCTAATGGTCCAGAGGGCCACGAGATTTCAAGAGATGTCGTCATATTAATCTTTTTGTGTTTAGCATTTACTATCATGTTATGAATGTACAAATTATGATACTGAAATTGAATTAAAACTCATAGGTACAATATATTAGGTCGCATCCAAAATTATGACGAGTGGTCAAAATGTAAACTTGAAGAGAGCTTGCAGCAGGCATCGTATTGTGTAGACTAATACACAATATTTTTAGTATAGGCTGTAGGGAGCTATTTTCTTTTAACTGGGAGCCACTGATCAGAAATGTGTATAAGAAAGTGCAGGGAGGGGCTGGAGAGATGGCTTAGTGGTTAAGAGCACTGACTGCTCCTGGAGACAACCCACATTCGAGTCCCAGCACCCACATGGTGGCTACGAACCATTCTTAACTCCAGTTCCAGGGGACTCCGATGCCTTCTTCTGACCTCCACAGCATTACATGACACGGGTGCGCTCACATACATATAGGCAATACACTCATACACATGAAATAAAAATAATAAATAAAATACTTAAAAAAAAGTGCAAAGACAAGAAGAGTGTTCACTCAGCAGTTGTTACTTTGCTAGGCTTTGCAGATAAAGAGGTAAAAGAGGTAAGACATGCAGAGTTTCAGTGCAGTGTAATGAATACTGTGCCAGTGCCACGATACTTGGATTATAGTGACAGCAAGGATCCGAACTAAGGTTGAAGCAGTGTTAAAGAGAAAATGGAGTTGATAGCATTTTCTTATGGAGCTTGAAGCTGATGTTAGAAACATATAGACAGCCATGTAAAGGTGGTAAACGATCTCTAAATCTTCTAAATCTCTTCTTTATTTTAGGAATTATCGAAGCTCTCAATAGATTCTATCAGCACACTGCCACAGATGTGAGGTGTGTGTGGCTTTCTGCAGTGGTGGATCACTTTCATTCATCTTTTGGGGACAAAGGTTGGGGCTGTGGTTATAGAAATTTCCAGATGCTACTTTCATCATTATTACAAAGTGATACATATGATGAGTGCTTGAAAGGTATGTGAAATATCATCATCATCTGAGTTTATCATTTAATACATGTGATATGGATTACATAATTAAAAGCTTTTAACAAAGATTTTATGTGAGAAACTTTATTGCTGGTTGGAAGGAAAGAAACGATATAACAGAAAATGTCAGGAATAAGTGTCTTAAGAACTATGTTTTTAAGTATAGTAACATTACTAAATGATATTCTTCATTATTTTAGTACCTGGCCCTATAACTTGTTTGCTCATGTAATTTTAGGTATGTCAATTCCTTGCATTCCAAAAATTCAGTCTATGATTGAAGATGCATGGAAGGAAGGTTTTGATCCTCAGGGGGCTTCTCAACTTAATAACAAGTTACAGGGAACAAAGGCCTGGATTGGAGCATGTGAAATATATACACTTCTGACCTCACTGAGGGTAAAGTATGTACCTAAAATCTCCAGTTAATGTTACTACATTCATTTGAAATTATCAGCATTAAATTTAATATAGCTAAGGTTCACATTTGTTTTAGCTACTTTTTCATTGCTGTGATAAACAGCCTAAATGGGAAAGGGTTTATTTGGGCTCATAGTTCCTCCATGGTGGGGAAGTCATGGCAGCAGGTAGGGAAGCAGGGAAGGCATGGTGGCAGGAGCAGGAGGCTGGCTGGTCACATGCATAGCAGAGTATGAACAGAAAATAGGGCCCTGTTATAAATCCTCAAGGTGTGCCCCCCAGTGACCCTCTTCCCCCAGTGAGGTCCACCTCATAAAGGTTCTACAACTTTCCCAGATAGTACCAACATATTCTAACATCTGAGCCTGTGGGGACATTAAAAACTCTTACAGTTTGGATGTTTTGGAGATTTTATTGCCATAAGAGACAAAAGATGTACTGTTTATGCTGAAGTTTAAAATAATAAAGATATTACATGCTTTTAGTTATACTTTATAAAATAGTTTGAGTAATGTAGAAATGAGCCAACTTCAACAATTTCATTTCTTCAGGGTGACTCATTTTGAAGGAAGTATACCATTGTAGTGTGGTACCACATAGGAGAAACATCGATGTAGAGAAGTGGATGCACACACATTTTCCTATGATTTCTACTAGTGTTCTTTTCTGCAACTGGAACTAGAGAAAAATTTAAGTATTCAGAATATTTTTCATGTATAAAAACAACTACTGATTGACTTTTTAAATTTTTCAAATATTTTATTATTTTTATTTTATGTCTACGAGTGTTTTGCCTGTGTGTAAATGCTCCTATGTCATGCACTGCCCATGGAGGTCAGAAGAGAGTGTCAGATCCCCTGGAACTGGAGTTACCGATGATTGTTAGCTGCCGGGAATTGAACATGGGTCCTCTGCAAGAGCAACCAATCCTCTTAACTGCTGAGCCATATCTGCAACATCCTTATTGACTGTTGGGGAACCCTGCTGTTAAGGTTGGCTCCTTTAAAGGTTTAGAGATGTTTTATACAGACTTGGAAAATGTTTATTCTATATAAAACATATCTAAACATAAAGAAATTGTACCCTGGAGTAGAAGCAATCATTCCTTAAAAGTTAATTTATATTTTTAATAGGAACCATGTTGTAATTTAACAATTTTAATTTACAAGAGAACTTACAAGTCAATTTGATATCTAGTAATTATTTAATAATTGTTTTATTAGTATTAAACATAAATCTATACATTCACAACAGTCTCATTCAATAAATACTGTGGTTAGACACAATGTCACAACAAACCAGTTTCAAAACCAAGACCTATTACCTTGATGAATTTTTTGATCAGATGTATATGAAACTCTTAAAAGCCAGCAGCGCTTTACATATACATCC